AAAATATTGTGAGTGTATGTGTGCGATATGTGTGTGTACGTATAACATTGAATATATATATTGAATGTTTTCTTTTGCTCAAGAGAAAAGTACATGATACAAGTACATGTTCTCAATTATCAAAAGGAATTTGTTTTTCCACAAACATGAACGCTCCTTAGATTATGTTGATTTATCATCTAGGTACTGCCTGGATGTGGATATCAATATATAAAGATACAATATTTATAATTTAAATATAATAATTAAATCAAGCAATATATACCTGAGCTGCAAGCATAGCAGCATAAGGAGAAGCTTCGTCACGGTCTGCTTTTACTTTCATGCCACCAGTAACTCTAGCGATTGTTTCTCTATAAAAATCAAACGTATATCATAAGTTTATAAAATTAATACTAATAAAGTCCTAAATTTGTTCTTTTTAATTGAATTTTTTTGCAACCGTTCATCTTTCTTTTTTCTAATGTTAAGAGAAAAGAAAAAGATGAACCATGCAAAAAGTCCAGCTAGAAAAAATAGATCTCATAATTAAACATAACACAAACCTTCCCGATAAATCAGTAACGTGCACAAATGTATCGTTGAAACTGGCGAAGATGTGAGCCACTCCGAAAACGACCTCTCCTTCGCGAAGTTGAGGTCCAAGCGAGACCTGTACTTCTTCCTTCTGTACTTTTCCTCTTTTTGGCGGCATTTCTAAAGTAAGGATATAATTTCGATTATTAATTTGCAGCTCAATCGTCTCTATTTTCACTCTCCTACAATATCTGTATAAACAGTCTTGAAATAGATTTAAGGTTACGTTACGGTGCACAAGCAAGAAAGTATACTATCATAAAGATACTAGCATAAAGATTCCAGTCACATCCATGATCTATCAAATCTATATAAAACAATTGCCTAACAGAAATTAATTCATAATAAATATTTAATAAATCTGATTTAATATTTTTGTCAAATAAATGATATTTATTGCTAAATTACCTGCGAATTGTAATCACTACACTCTATCGTTTCAACGCGATTTACACACAGGACTCGTAAAAGAACGTTTCCGCTAAGTGTCGGTCCACAATAGGCGATTTAAGCTTTAAGAAATAAGAAATTGACCAATTATAATCGAACATGAAAAAAATACTCGACTACAATTGGTCAATTTCTTACGGCCTAAAGATTAAATATTTATTGTGGACCGACACTAAGGCGATTTCACTGACTGTGAAACGCAATGGCCGTGCGCAGTTTAATAGGGAATTTAGTTATATAATTGAAGAGTGGAATGTTCAGAAAAACTTATTTTATAGGGATATAGGAATATATTGGCTTAAACCTTTTGACCGTTCTTGTAAAACTTTATATATTAAAATTATCTTCTACATACATTCATATTTTAATATATAAGAATACTTTTCATTAAATTTTATATGTATACAAAATAATGTTCATCTATGTATATAAAAAAGAATATAATCTACTTACTTTTGTATGTGTAGATACATACATATATAGTTTTCTAATATAACATATATTATTCGGAATCACTTATTACAATATATTGATCACGAGTTTTCTTTGACTGCGCACTTCTAGAATTCTGTTTAAAAATATAAATGTAATCATCAAATAAATGTACACAAATTAATCTACTTTAACAATATTTTTAGATAATTGTTTATACCAGCATTTTTATAATAGATGCATTCCCTTCATTAGATTTTTCTTTGCCTCCTCTAGATCCTCTGCCACCTCTTGAACCTCTACCCCTACCCCTCTCTTTAGTCTTGGTCGATAATATGGAACTGAAATTATCTTCATCACTATCATTTTCAATTGTTACATCAGCATTACGAGAATGCTCTCCAATTCTAGAACTTATTTGTGAATGCTTGTTGATTGTTAGGGCTTTTAGAACCTACAAAGAGATATATTCGTAAAAATCTTATATGCTACACACATATGTAAATATGAACATCATATACAAATCTCATATACAAATCATTACATTATCTTGCTCCTGTTGATCTTCAGAAAGTCTCTTATCGCGGAAATTTTTAATTTCTGCGCGAATATCTTCGGTTGTTTCAGTATTTTGTGCTCGTACATATTCAATGGTTCTTTTCATTTGATCTCTAAGTAAACCCAAACAATTCAG